TTTGTGGGGACATTTTTGCGTGGCAACAGTCATTACTGATTGCAATTAGCCGACTGTTTAAGTTCTATGTTAAGATAAGACCAAACAACTTGAATTGCTTTTCGTGGTCCAGGACACGAGAGAGATCTCTCGGCCTCCTTAGCAAAAGTTATCAACGGGCTTTTGTTTAACTGGAGCCTATTATTAGTGACCGACCCCCTTAAATTGACTACATCGAAATAGGCCCAAAGGTGAACTCATCAAGTAGTTCACGTTTACAGCAGTGCTTGGCATTTTTGCTTTGGTATTTTTAGTTGATAATTGATGTAATAGAAGAAATCTTTTCTCACTGGTTATCTAGCGAGTGCGATCTCGAGTTGTGATAGCTAGAAGGGGTCAGAAGCAAAGCCGCCATACATCCTGAACCCTTGATAGCTTCCTACCATTTGATGCTGATAAATGCACTCTACATCCGACTTACTGTCGATAGGTAATTTTGTTGAAGCATGGGATGATTGAGTGTTCCATGTTGCTTCTGACAACTAGGCCCACCCAACCTTCCTGTATACATCCCGTTTTCTTTTCGTTTTTCTTTTTTAATTCTTTTGTGTGTAACACGACGGGAACGAACCACACCACACTAAGATTTGATTAAAACGAGCCTGGGTTGCTTTCACGGGGATATAAAATTGAAAACGGAAAAACAAACCTTTCTAAATTCGAAATCTATATTTCATGCTCAGGGGGGGATGGGTGGGGCTTATTGGATTAATTCATTTCAAAAGCAAAACATCATTTTTTTGTGAGGAAAGAAATACTTGTATCACCAGACTGCTGAATATATTATTAAAGCTTGTAAGAGAACTTAGAAAATGTTAATATGAAAGACTCTGATACTGTTTCAGGGACTTCCATCAAAAATGAAGTTTTAAGTCTCCAGTGATGATATTAGTGCGAGACTTACGCCCCTTTCAGACGAAATGTTAACTTCATACTAAGGTTTCAGCTGAGAATGAGATATTTCATGAAAGCCTTAAGAGTAAACAAAAACCAACAGTTAGAACTGTACAACTTGGATCTATTAACCAGTAGACATCGAGTCTGGAGTAACGACAAGATAGGGCCTACAGAACAACGAGATAAGCGCTGATAATTCACATTAGAAACTATATCTTGTTTTCTTTCAAAAGATTTTAAACTCTAGTTATGAATGACTTAGATAGAGCGCGCTTTCATTATATCTCGCCATTCTAAAGAAAATACGCTTCATTCAAACTGGACTATAGCTGTTTTTTTGCCTTAAGCTATGATTTGAGGCTAATTATGATAGCCAAAATCAAAAGAATTGAGTTCGGGTTTTTTACGATGATTCGGTGTCTGCCTCAAATGATTAAACAGAGTGAGTTTTAACTCCTCTTGGTGCCAAGAAATTATTCTTCACATGGTTTAATATTTTGTAAGCTGGAATACACAAACCAAATGATATAACCGAAGGAATTTGATTTTCCTGATAAAATACTACAAAGTTAATTGCACGTGAGAGTAGCTCCAATTTTAACCGTCAATTTTGAAGCATTTGAATTAATACAATTGGTGTTTTAATTCGACTTTAATAGCAGAAGAGCCATTCGAAATTATACTTGTAGATTTTATCCTTTTATATTATACTTCTTGTCATTTAAACCCCTCATTAGCTTGGTTTTTTTCCACAAGAGCTTGTTTGTCTTTCTCCTGTCCAATTCTAGTCTCTAATTTTATTTTCTAAAGGACTTGTCTAAAAAAACCTTCTCAGAATTGGTTTTAAAAATGCCCCAAAACACATAGAAACAAAACCATATTTTTTTTATTCTACGATAAATTCTAATGTTTAATTATTATTTTTTTAATATTTTGTTTTTTTATATGGAAAATTCTGATAGGAAAACAAGTCGTGTAGCTAGAGATATAAAAACTCGTGCTTCAAATTGTATCCATTTATTAAATTTCTGAGTTTTTGTCGTCCTATTTTAGGTAAAAACCATTTCTACTAATTAGAATTTGACAAATTTTCATCCAACTTTTCGAAAATAAAAGAAAAAATACTGTTTTTTTAACTAGTCTATACGGGTTTTAGTTTTTTAAAATTAATTGTTTATTTTTAAGTTTTTAAATTTTTACGTTTTTATGTTTTTAAATTTTTAATTTTTTTCTTAAGAAAGAAAACTTAGAAACTTGTGGACAACTTAGATACTGGGAACAACTATTCTCTGCTAAGAAAAAAACAAAACAATAAACAATGTTGATAAAAACTTCAACGATAACTGGAAACAAGGCGAAAGTGCTGTGATGTTTTTGTGTAGGGAAGGAAATTGCTTCAAAACGTACGTACTGAATCTTATGAGAAAGTGATTAGAGAGAAACACTTAAGTGACATATTGCTGAATCTAGCGAACTCTCTTTCGGTTTTAGGACCAAACATGAATATTTCAATGATAAAGCCCATTTTGTTTGTCCAGAAAAACAGAAACCATTGATTCATTGAAGTACAAAGTAAACCAAGTTCTCATGGAAGCGAAGATAAGATCGTGTCTCCTACAGGCTCGCCGCCTCTCGACAATTAAAAATTGATAACAGTTTTATTTTTCGATAGCATTTTATTCCGATTCTTTATCTCGAAACTAAAACAGCTGACCTCCCGAAAAAAAGTAAAAAAATAGCACCAAAAAATTAAAGCCTCGAGAAGTAAATCTTAGAGAATTAATTCAACCAGTTAACAATCCAGAGATTCTGAATGAACCCGGAAATGAAATTTGACAGTAGTCATTGTCTTTTTAAGTTTTTTCCCCTGGTTTTCTCAATACTAAAATGCGTGAGTGAGTCCTAGGGTTTGTTTAGGATGATATCATTTAGGCTCTCTAAATTTTTCCCATGATTGTCCTGTTCTTTAAGGGAAAAATTATATTTAAGTGGGAATCACGAATTGAGAAGTGTCCGACATTTTTGGGCCCGTTTTTATAATAATTTGGCAATGCTTTGGCTAAAGGAAAACAGGTTTTTACAAGCAGCAAATGAAAAGAACAATAATGACGTGAAAAGTGACATCTTGTGAATTTCCAAGTTAGATTCGAATCATGTTAATGAACTGAGAAGAATGGAAGAAAAAGACTCAGGTTTTGGCCTTCATTAAACTTGAAGAAAAAAATAGAATAGAAAAGGAAAGAAATAACAGGAAGGGAAAAAAGCAATTGGAATATCCTGCGAAAGGGTTGGGTGTCTTCGTAGTTTGAAAAGAAAACATAAATAAAAGAAAACAATGGGATAAATGAGATGGAAAAGTCAGTATAGTGAGGGTCCAATGTCCCGGGACGGATTTGACTTTCTTTAAAGAAAATTAGAGAGAAGGAAAGAATAGAACAAAGGTAGGAATAAAAATCGAGTGAATTAAACTGTCCGGTGACGGATTTAACCTTCGTTTGCGATTCTAAAATACGCAGGAAGTGCATTGCGTTTTACGGAGCTATGCAAAATATCCTGGTTTGTTAAGAGACGATGCTAAACAAACCACTGATTAACTTCAACGGAAAAGCGACCACGATCAAAGAAGCCCAAGTCTTTTTAGGCCATGGGGCTGACAATAGAGCTGTCAATGCTAGAAAAACAGATAGCCGTTAGGATAAGTGGAAAGGGTCGTCTGTAAGGCAGGTGACACTACACCAATGCATATCATCATATTTACGCAGCTGATTTAAAATAACTCGACTGTATATATTGATCTAGGCCTTAAAAGCGGTTTTCTTAGGGAATAAGAAATGAGGCAGGCAAATCTTCTCTGAATTCTGGGATGATTATAGAATTTTGTTTTGTTCGGGATTCAAAGAAATATAAAATTGGAAAGAAGCGCTTGGCTGTGATGTGCAGTTAAGATGGATTAGCTTTTTGATTTGGCTTTGGTCGTAATTATTTATGAGTTTTCACTTTTCAAATTTATGCGGGGTTTTTTACTTCTTTGAATGCCCTAGAACACCCGGCCAGAGCGCAAGCTTCGTCGGTAAAGAAAACCAAATAGAACGCTTAAAAATTCCGGCCGACAAAGGCCCTTCGGAAATTAGATTCTTTATTCAGTTCTAAATCTTACGAAATGCCAAAACTAGTATTTGATTTTAGAATATCATACATAACATGTTTTTTTTGAAAATGAGGGTTTTAGAATAACTCGGTGGAGAAATTTTTTTGGAATAGAATTAAAGAATATTAACTTCCTCGACGATGAAAAGTTCAATGAAAGAGAATAACATGATGGCAAAAAAAAAAAAAAACACCATTTCCATAAATTATGTCTGTTGCTGAATCAAACTTTTGACTAGCAAAGCTCAGATACTTTAGACGCTCTGCAGGGAGTGAGAGTTAATTTCTAATTACTAACGTTGAGAACTAATCTTTTCAATTTGCTTGAAAGCTTCAAGCTCGTTATCTTCGGCTGTTTTGAACTTTGAAAACACACCGAACGTATCAAACAAGAACTATTCAAATTTTAATCTGAAATTTCGAAAAGCATAGCAATCGAGAACTCATGCAATCTTTTTCGGCTACTTTAGTGTAAAAAATCATATTCTGCTAATTATTGTTTTAAACTATATGTGAACTACATCTCTTTGTTTGAAGGTTTATAAAGAATGAAAAATATATATTTAGAATTGCCAATATTTAATGAAGAATTTTTGTCTTCTTTAAAGTTAAAATTTTATTTTATTTTAAATTTTAATCAATGTTTTTATTATTATTATTTTTTTGTTGTAAATTCACTAGAAACTTTAGATAGATTTGACTAAGATACTACAATAGATTTGTAAAAGTTCATTTTCTCGTTATGTAACTAACCCTTGAAATATGAAAGTTATCAGTAACGAATCTTCCACTTGAAATCCTTTTAGAAAAATATCTGTTTCAAGTACTTGTATTTATTCGATTATCTCATGTCTTTATTTAAATAAAGCGTTGCTAAAAGATATGTCCCTGACAGCGTATTTTCTTTCCTTTTGCAGAGTATTTGGCACGAAATGTAGCGGCTGTAGAAAAACTATTCCTGCTAACGAATTGGTTATGCGGGCACTTGGAAATGTCTACCATTTGCATTGCTTCGTGTGCGCAATGTGCGGACATGTTTTAGAGAAAGGACAGGAATTTGCTCTCAAAGATAATAAGTTATACTGCAAGATGGACTACGCAAAGCTACCAAAACAATCTAGTCGTAAAAGCAGGATTAATAACAACGATAATGACTCCAGCAAAACTATACGACAACAAGAAAGTAAGTCTTTTTTCTTTCTTTTTTGTTTTCTTTTCGTTTGGTAAAAAGCATTGAAATCTAGGGTCGACTTTCGAATAAGGAATGCTAATTTCCGTTCAGTGATATTTTGTGGATTTATTTTTGATGGGAATTCATTCAGATTTGATAATCTGTTCTGGTGAATTACTAACCTTTATTTTGAGTGTGAAAAGATATATTAAGTGGTTGCCGGGTTTTATCAATTAAAGTTATGCATGTGAGTTAAGTGTGTGGGAGGTACCAGTCAGTTAAGTGATTGAAAATAAATGCAAAAAGCATTCCTTTTCAACTGTGAATATTGTGTACATTCAATAGTGGGTATATAGAAGTAGTTGAAATAGTGGGAGGGCCAGTAAAGTAGATGAAAGTTATTATGAATGAAGATGTGGATGAGAGCAACATTTAATAGTGGGTATATAGAAGTAGTTAAAAAAGTGGGAGGGCCAGTAAAGTAGATGAAAGTTAGAGTGAAGATTTGGATGAGAGCAACATTCAATAGTGGGTATATAGAAGTAGTTAAATAAGTGGGAGGACCACTAAAGTAGATGAAAGTTATTATGAATGAAGATGTGGATGAGAGCAACATTGANAATAGTGGGTATATAGAAGTAGTTAAATAAGTGGGAGGACCACTAAAGTAGATGAAAGTTATTATGAATGAAGATGTGGATGAGAGCAACATTGAATAGTGGGTATATCGAATGAGTAGTTAAATAAGTGAGAGGACCAGTTGAAAGGACCAGATGAAAGTTATTATGAATGAAGATGTGGATGAGAGCAACAATGAATAGTGGGTATATAGAAGTAGTTAAATAAGTGGGAGGACCACTAAAGTAGATGAAAGTTATTATGAATGAAGATGTGGATGAGAGC